TGCGGCCCCTCCCTCCGGCTTTGCTGGATTTTTAACCGCCCTCCCCGGTGCCCCTCGCAGGCGTCGGGACAGCCCGAGGCACCTTCCGCCCGTCCGCCCGCCCGCGCACGCAGGACCCGGGGCTCGGGCCGCGCTCCCGCATCCCTTCGCCGCCCGCCCGCCCGGCCGCCTGCCCGCCCAGCTCCGGGCCTTAGGACCCCCCGGCTTCACACCAGAAACATGACTCGCGATTTCAAACCCGGAGACCTCATCTTCGCCAAGATGAAAGGTTATCCTCACTGGCCAGCTCGAGTAAGTGATTGGTAGCCTTCGCCGTGCTCGCCCGCCTTCCCCGGGCCTGCTTTCCTCACCTAGCCCCCCCCCCCCTTCCTTCCCGATGTCCTTTTTTTCTCCCTTGCTTTTCCTTGTTAGCGCCATTGGGAACCTGTGGGTTTTTTTTTTTAATGTTTTTCTTTTCCCCAGTAATCTCCCATGTGATAGTAAAATAAATAAATACATTGTAGATCTTAACTACATACCTGTGCAATTCCCTGTGGCTTGTTTGAGTCTGTGACAGGAACTCCTGGTAGGAAACATTTAGATGACATTCCAGTTCATGGTTCCATTGTAGGTGAAAGGACCCAAGGAGCAGTTTGTATGTTTAAAATTTAGTGAACCATCACCATTTCGTTAATTTTTTTGAGTAAGATACAAAATACCCATAGAATTTAATGCAGATGATCAATTCTTGAGCGTCAGCTATGATTAAGTTGTTTTACACTTTTTGCTTACAAAAGGATTACAAAATTGCAGTTCATGAGACTTTCTGTATTTAGTTCAGGGAAAGGTCTTTTTTTAAATCAATTTATGGTGGGATTCAGGTCCTCAGAACCCAGGAATATTGAGATCTATTAATTAGATACAGTCAAAACCCTTTTTAAAAATATAACTGTGATGTTCCAAAGTTGTTTTATTTTCAAACTATTTGATACTTAATTTTCTTTAAAAAGACAGTTCTTAAAAATAAATCACAGTTCTAGTTATGGTACCTAGGAAGAGGAGGTGGGGGAATACCCATTGGATAGAGAATCATGGAGTGAGAAGCTAAGTGTTTCCCAAGTATTAAAAGAGCACTTTGGGGGCTGGGAAGGTGGCTAAGTGGTAGAGCGTTTGCCTTGTATGCATGAGGCCCTGGGTTCGATTCCTCAGCACCACATAAGCAAAAAGAAAAAAGCCAGAAGTGGTAGAGCACTAGCCTTGAACTGAAATGCTGGGGGACAGCGCCCAGGCCCAGAGTTCAGGCCCCATGACCGGACCCCCCCCAAAAAAAAGATCACTTGTTCCTTGATTTTGTTTCATATTTGTATATTTTCATGAAAACAGTGTGTACAGTAGTGTGCCCAAATCTGCAGTATGTGGCTTGATGGACTTTTCCAATGTGCCTTGATCCCTTCTCCTTCCAGCTCTTTAACAGTTTCAGTTTGTTTGCTTTTTTTCCCCTAGTCTACCTTTTCAGTAGAATCTTACTTGAATAATCGTTAATATAATAATCTTTTGGTACTTTAGGAAAATCTAACTCTTTTGTATATGCTTTGACTTTGAAACATATTGCAAGCTTCTTGAGAGTACTATCCCTAAACCAGCTTTAAAGGCTGGAGGTTCCCTCTAATATAATTTTGTATGGTTTTCTTTAAAGTTATCCTTATTTTGAGCTATCATAAAATCTGTTTATCTAATAACATCTGTATTTAGATTTCCATGCCAGATGGAAATGCTTCCAAAATTTTCAGTTCCAACTCATCCTTTCCGCTCCCTTCAGTATGTTAGGTGGATAAGATAACTGAGTAAAATTATGTGGCCTTAGGAAGAGTATTTTCCTTCTCCATTTAATGAGCTATTATTGAGTTCGCTTGGATTGAAATGGGGAGTATTTTTGTTTTTTTTTCTTTAAAACTAATCATTGCTTATACAGGAGTGAGAATTTATTGTTACATTTTCTACATGTTTACATTCCAATCAGTATCATTATTTTTCCTTTTGAATCAGTTGAGTTTGGTTTTAACGCATTGTGTCCAAATATACAAGTTCTTTTCAGTCGTTAATATAGATTGTAAAGTTTTTTTTTTTTGGGTCCAGTCATGGGGCCTGAACTCTGGGTCTGGGTGCTGTCCCTCAGCTCTTCTTCTGGCTTTTTTCTTTTTGTTTATGTGGTGCTGAGGAATCGAACCCAGGGCTTCAGGCATGCAAGGCAAGCGCTCTACCACTGAGCCACCTTCCCAGCCCAGATTGTAAAGTTTTGATATAGGGTTAAGATCTCAGCTATAAAGGTGACATTTTAATTTTCACTCTTGCATTTCCTTCCTTCCTTCCTTCCTTCCATGTGTGCATGGGTGTGCACACTCATGCTGGTTCTTAGGCTTGAACATGGGACCTGGACACTGTCCTTGAGGTTTGTTTGTTTCTTTTGCTCAAGGCTAGTGCTCTACTACTTGAGCCACAGCTCCACTTAGGGCTTTTTTGTTGTTTAACTGGAGGTAGTCTTGTAGATTTTCCTGACTTGGCTGGCTTTGAACTGTGGTCCTCAGATCTCAGCCTCTTAGTAGCTAGGATTACAGGTGTGAGTCCATCAGCACTCAGCTTTCTCACTCCCCCCCACCCTATCCCCCCCCCCCTCTTTTTTTTTTTTTTTTTGGTCCATAGCTGGGCTTGAACTTTGGGCTTGGGCGCTGTCCTGCACTCTTGAGCTCAAGGCAAGCGCTCCACCGCTTGAGCTACAGTGCCACTTCCGGTTTTCTAGTGGTTTTATCTGAGATAAGAGTCTCACGGACTTTCCTGCCTGGGCTGGCTTTGAACCTTGATCCTCAGAGCTCAGCCTCCTGAGTAGCTAGGATTACAGGCCACTGGCGCCGGCACTAGTGGGAGTTTAAAAATAAGATTTTTTAAATTATTAAAGTGTTTTGTACAGGGGTTACCATTTCATAAGTAATGAGTACATTTCTGTTTTTGAACTTTGTCACCTCTTCCTACTAGCAGTACTTTTTTTGTTTTGTTTTGTTTTCTTTTTTTTGGGGGGGGGTCCGGTCGTGGAGCCTGAACTCTGGGCCTGGGCGCTATCCCTCAGCTCTTCAGCTCAAGGCTAGCCCTCTACCACTTGAGCCACAGTGCCACTTCCGGCTTTTTTCTTTTTGCTTATGTGGTGCTGAGGAATAGAACCCAGGGCCTCAGGCATGCAAGGCAAGCGCTCTACCACTGAGCCACCTTCCCAGCCCCTACTAGCAGTACTTTTGAAAATATCTTAAAATAATTGCCTAACATGTATTAAGCGTTTGAACAAACTCTTAAAGCTGTTGCTGTTTACTAGCAGAAAGAAGCATATGAGGATGCGTAGTATAAGGATGGAGGGAACAAGTAGAAAAATTAAGGTTCTTAGAATTATTGGATGATGATTCTGTTATTATCTGAAACCCTCATTATTATAGATTATGAGTCCAGATTTTCTATCCTGTAATGCTTACACAGATAGATACTAGGGTCAGCTCTTGTATTTGCAGTCAACTTGTTTTCTTTTTTCTTGTTTTTTTTTTTTTGGGGTCCGGTCGTGGGGCCTGAACTCTTTTCTTTTTGCTTATGTGGAGGAATCGAACCCAGGGCCTCATGCATGCAAGGCAAGTGCTCTACCACTGAGCCACCTTCCCAGCCCAGTCAACTTGTTTTCTAATTAAAATGTTTTGTATTTGTCCTCCTCTCTGACATTGGGACTCAGGCCCTGGTAATCCGATACTTTTGCTCATTGGCTTGGTGCTCTACCACCTAAACCACAACTCCAACCCCCATGTTTTTGAAATTTCAAATAGCAATGTCATTTAACTCTTGGAACATACTATTGCTTGGTGGCTTGAAAGATTGAAAACTAATAAAGGAACAGGTAACCCCATGTGATTCAGCCATACAATTGAAGGATGTTTTCATTATACATTTTAGAGTGGCAAGTGTTGCTTTAAACTTTTGTTAATGTCAGCTTTTACATTACTCTGTTTATGCTTTCTAGAATGTCACTTAGAATTGTGAAGTAGATTGACATTCTTTTTTTTAAATACATTTTTTATTGAGAAGATACTGTCCAGAGGGGTTACAATCACATGAGCAAGGTAATAAGTACATTTTTTTTTTTTTGTCGGCCGTGGGGCTTGAACTCTGGGCCTGGGCGCTGTCCCAGCTCTTCAGCTCAAAGCGAGTGCTCTACCACTTGAGCTACAGCGCCACTTCTGGCGCTCTCCTATCGGAGTGTCACGGTCTCTCCTGCCCAGGCTGGCTTTGAACCACGATCCTCAGATCTCAGCCTCCTGAGTAGCTAGGATTACAGGCGTGAGCCACCAGTGCCGGCTAAGTACATTTCTTATCAAGCATTGTTGCCTCCTCCTTTGTTTTCCCCTTACCATCCCTTCCTTCCCACCTCTACAACTACACCCCCTCCCCCACCCCAAATTGTAAAGTTCGTTTTCTTTTTTTTTTGGGTCCGGTCATGGGGCCTGAACTGTGGGCCTGGGCGCTGTCCCTCAACTCTTCAGCTCAAGGCTAGCGCTCTGCCACTTGAGCCACTTCTGGCTTCTTTTCTTTTTGCTTATGTGGTGCTGAGGAATCGAACCCAGGCCTCATGCATGCAAGGCAAGTGCTCTACGACTGAGCCACCTTCCCAGTTCGTTTTTCGACATAGCATCTTGTACATGTCATTGTTACAATGAGTCAGCCTGTATCCTTGTTCAAACTATTTTTTCCCTTCTGCTTCCCAAATTATACCAACATCAAATACAGTGAAAATGGGTTATACCGTGGGGGAGGGACATACAAAAAAACAAAAAAATCATATGGTACCTTATAAATATGTTACAAACAATAGCAAGAAAGAAAAAACCACTTGATTCCTTATCTTGGTGTTCATTTCACTTAATATCATCTTATTTGACCTTTTTTGCTTGTCTCCAATATATACTAGTTATAGCAAATAAGGGAAACCAATGGGACCTATGTTTCTTTGCACCTGGCTTACTTTACTTAATATGTTTTGTTTTTTTTTTTGGTCCGGTTGTGGGGCCTGAACTATGGATGGGCCTGGGCACTGTCCCTCAGCTCTTCAGCTCAAGGCTAGCTCTCTACCACTTGAGCCACAGCACCACTTCCGGCTTTTTTCTTTTTGCTTATGTGGTGCTGAGGAATCGAACCCAGGGCCTCATGCATGCAAGGCAAGC